GTCCGCGTCATCATCCTCGCAACTGTCGACGTTCTTTGGAACTCTCGCGCAAGATCGCAAACCCCCCCCACCCCCCCCTCACAGATGAGAATTTCTTGCATGCTGGTGCTCCGAGTGTGACTGTTGGTAGCACCACAGCTCTCATGTTGTTTTTCCCTTAGGTACCGCATGTTGGTCGTATTTATTTGTTTCAAAAGCTTGTTTGGGTTCTCATATTCTTTCGTAGATTTTCGTAGTTTGTATCGACCGTCGTCAATCTATGCTCAGTTTCGGTTGGGCGCGTTAAATGTGAGCCCGAGCATGTGCTTGAATGACTTTCATTCAGGGACCGGAGGAGCACATCATGATCGCCATCTTCATCGGAGGGGCAGGGGGGAACCCCCACCACAGGGAACCACAGCGGGGAGGGGGGATACCATGGGGTGGGGGGGGAGGGGGGCCTAGAAGCGCTGCACCATACATGGACTGAGTGCCAAGCGCATTTACAAGCAGCAGTAGAAGTAGCATCTCGCCTCACAATCGGGAGGAGCCACCGAACATGCAAAGTCAAGTATGTTTTCTTTTTTTGCAAGAATCGATGCAGCTGCACACCTAATCCAGTTGAAGCAGCCATGCAGGGTTGGCGCCAGTTGCTCAACAATACCTTGTGTTTCCCGTGCTCATGCCGTAGTGCAAAGGATCCGTGCAAGGCCCACGCCGATCTTCAAGGATTTCGCGAAATCGAAGGGAGGGATGTGGGCTCGGAGGTTCTGCCGCTCCGAGGTCTTTGAATGGCACGAAGCCTTGTCACGCCGACTGCCACAGCGAGGATCGGATCTCGGAGCGGAAGACCAATGGAAGCCTCGCCGCAGCTCGCTAAAGTGCTATTGTGAGGACTGCCAACTGGGAACTTGGACCGCCTGGACCGGGTGCAGCTCCCTGCTGGACAACAAGTGCCCTCGCCGCTGCACCTTGAGCTGTGCCACGGCTGTCTCCATTGTTAGCTGATAGCTTTGTTGCGAGTTTTTGCCAGGTATCGTGCGCGGTTGATCACCACTTCTGGAGCCTTCGGTGGCAAGGTGGAAGCGTCGCCAGGTTGATTTCCGCTGAAACCCTGTGCAAGTTGCATGCGGGAGGTTTGCTCCCTCAGCTCACTCAATGAGACGTCATCTTGCCAGACAGGGCCAGTGTCTCACGCGCTTTCCCGCATTAGCAGCTTCGGGCATGGCGTGTGGCTCGGGCCCAGGGCGGGTGCTCCGGTTGATTGCGTTCTGGCTGCATGGTCATCTTGGGGACCCTGCTCAAAAACGCCAGCGCCTCTTGGCATCTGCCTGCAAAACTGCACAGACTTCAAAATCCTCGGACTGTTCAGGTGCGGTGCTGGCCAGCAGTCTCGATCGAGATCGGTGGCAAGTCAGGCTCGGGATGCGACACCTTGTGGCGATGCACGCAAGTGTACGACTTGCTAGGCTTCGCGTGGTGGGCGGGCCTGCATCGGAAGCGCAGTGCTTAGCTGCAGGTTCCATGCGGGACTTTTTTTCGAGGCATCTGTTAAATCTGGCAGTTAAATCTGGCAGTCCCGAGGCCTGAGCGAGCTGCAGCGCTGCGAAGTTGAAGCGTCAGAAGCCAAGTGCTGGGCTTTGTGGTGACGCCAGCTCTGGTCGCTAGCGGCATTTGCAAGAGGTGCCCAGCTGTCCCTGCCAATCTTGCAGATTGTCAGTGGGGCGCATGGCTGGGGACTCGGCGCTCTTCTGACGGACGGAAGCGATGAAGACGAGAGCTGAAGGTCCGTGTGGCAAGACTGCCATGGTGGCCAACAGGCCGCTCCGCCAGACGACCGGTGTTCTGTTCTTAAGAGAGTCCTCCGGAGCCCAGGTCAGGACTCGCACGGTGATCCATCCTGTCAGGGGCTCACCTTCTCTTAAATGGTCTCTTCGTGATCACACGTCACACACTGCTAACACAGACGTGAGGCTTCTTGAGAGCTGTTGGTGAATACATACACGAGGATAATGCGGTTCATTTCCCTTGCAACATTGCAGTGGAGATGCTGGCCTTAGATTTTTACTCAAGTGCTAGCTTGCTCCTTCTTTTTGTAATCATCGCAATGTGGTGATGTAGGATGCCTCTCCACGAAGTGCGAGGTCTTCAAAACTCTACGCGTGGCAGAGCAGATAAACGGTCCGAATTCGCAATTCACACCCTTATTCGCTTAGTATTTATTGGCTTTGTCTTTCCGAGATGGGATGTCCAGGCAAATTTAGGGAACTAAGGCCACCTGGTCCAAGAATCCCACACTTCGGTTTTCTGAAGTAGGAGTGGGGGACCTTCCCAATCTTGACGAAAGTGACGATGTTTCCAAGGCCCAAGCAGGCGGCGAAGCTTGCGAGGGCCCCGTGGAGGAGACGAAAAGTTGCGGACAGGACGCACCCTGCGCCGTGTGCTTCATTGGGACCGAAATACGGCTTGTTTTATTCCAGGAGCTTGCCGGATCTCAAGACTGTGTGTTCTCTCTCTGGAATGAGTCGGAGACTCATGTGGCGCTTCCGCGAGGGCGTTTCGCTTCAGTGTCGCGATTTCCTCAGGTGGAGCTTGTGCTCAAAGACATGCGGTGGAGGGCAGAGGCTTCACACCTCCGTGTGACTGCGGCAATCGTGAAGACTTGAAAACTGCCTGCCAGTTCGCGGTCTCGCGTGATTGACTCGCATGCTCGCGAAGGCTCGTTTCCTGCCGGTCGTTAGTATCGCGAGTTGCAGCCTTTCATTGCGTGCCTTGCGGTTGTCGCAGATGGAGAGCAATGTGCTGGAACCCTCCTGGAAGTAAAGCCCTGCGCCATGGACCGCAATGCCTCTCATGTTCTGCAGGCTGTCTACTTGCACACACGTCTGGCCTGACGGCAGGACTCCTGCGCAGATGCTGCAGATACTGCTGGATTCTTACAACCCTACAAGCAGTCTCTGTAGCTGTTGCAGCCAGATTGGCCCAGAAGACATTCTTTCGCACCAAGATGTGCACCTACACGGACTGGACAAGCTGGGGGGCGTGTACGCGGTCTTGTGGAGGAGGCTACAAGGCGAAATTGCATTCGTACGCTCAAGGAGCCGGGGTGATTCGTGCCTCTGTGCTTCTCGCCTTGCAGGAGAGGTCGCGGGACATCCGAGTTCCAGCCGTCACAGGAGACCCACTTGATGCATGTTAATCGGTTTGCATGGCACTCTCACGACCTTGTCCTTAGGGTGAACGGGGCGGTGGTGGTGCTTACTTGCTGGGCAGGTTTGAGCGGCTGCAGTGGCACGCTGAAAGAGGCTCCATTGTGGCAGGGCCCGTGTTTGGGTGGCATCGGAGCATGATGAGTTGCCTCGCAGACGATGCCATGCGCGTCGACTCCGTGCCAAAATGCCGTGGACTGTGTCTGGGCCGAGTGGGAGGAGTGGTCGGAGTGTGAAAAGGTCCGCGTCTCAGGAATGCCAGGGGTGTGCTTTTCGGAATTTCGACTCTGCACATGGCCAGGCACCCTCCATGTGCGGCGTTGGATCTAAACGTTTGTCCCTCAAGTGGATTCAAAGACGGGCTTGGTTTCACGGCATGGCTAGAGTCTAGAGGCCGCAAGCGCAGCATCGCCGTGATGCCTGCGAACGGCGGGGCTCTCTGCGACCCCAGGCCTGGACCGAGGAGCGGAGCCTGAGCCCTGCGCCTGATGCGCGGTTTCGCTTTCGGAGGCCGTTGGAGCAGGTGATGCCGGTCAGCAATTGCCAGGGGCAGGCCGGGGCGGGTGTTGCGTTGCGCTGTTGCGCTCTCACATGGCCCTGGCTTTCGGCCCCTTCCAGGCCCCATGTTGCATTGATGGCGTGTGGCAAGACTGGCAAGCCTGGGGAGAGTCGTCCCTGCATGCTTTCATATGCTTGCTCCGCAGACGAAGAGTCACAAGCCGTGGCAATGCTGGGCTGCCAGGTGCAGTGCGCACCGCGGCACTGGAACCCGCAAGAGGGTGCGAACAGCCACGCAGGACATCCGTGACGCTTTTCTCCGCTCCCGAGCACTGCCAGAAGTTGCCATTTGTACATGCAAAAGAGATCTACAGCTGTGGTTCAAGACAGCAGCGCATGCCAGCTTGGCCACATATTGTCCTGTAGCTTCTAGTCTTCGACGGGTCTTCAGTGCAGTGCAGCTGCACAGGCTTCATGGAAGTGACACTTTGACAAAATATCTTGCAGCCATGGTGGGTGGAAAGATTCGCAGTATGACTGAGCTGGACCCACCAACGCCCGAGGACAGTGCATATTGACGAAGATCGCCGGACGATTCCATTGTCTGCTGCGTTCTCCTGCGTAATTGCAACGCTTGCGCAGGAAATTGATGCTTTCGTTGTTGAGAACCGCCGGTGGCTCTCAGATGAAGCAGAGGAGCTCGTCCGTTTGCAGACGGCATCTGTGCCCAGCTACTGTAGCAAAGCGACTCTGGCAGGGAATCTTGAGGGCTATGGACGGCCAGGATCAGCGACACGTCGACGCCTCAATCTATCATTTCTGCCATGTCGTGCCAGTCGCTGCTGCATACTGCAGGAGATTCGCAAGTCCTTGCAAGTTGTGGTAAGGTCATCTCTGAGGGCTCGATGTCCAACTGCAGAAATCCAGTGGCCATAGTAAAGTCTCGTGCATGGAACGGCCATTTGAAGGCGGGCTGCCTGTGGAGCACATCCGAGTGTACAGTTCCTCTGCAGCCGCAGCGTGCAGAGAGCCTCCTGTTTGAGTCCAGATGGGTCGCGCTCAGCAAGAAAAACACCGGGGAAACAGAACCCTAGGCCAATAGGCTCCATTCTTCCTTTGCAGCCTTGTGGTTCTTCCCATAAGCCTCGTCGAGGTGCAGTATTATTGTCGCGAGGCTACTCGAGCTAAAGCCGCAAAGGGAGGAACAAGCGACTGCACACGACATGAACAAGATGTCGAACTGTGGGTACAAAGCTCTCTCTCTCTCTCTCACGCGTTGCTCTTCATTTCAATTCCAAACTCACCCTGCGTTTCGTGGTCTTCAACTCTAAGTTCAGGCAAGCATCATGCGTCCTGGGTCTGCAAGTGGCACACCCGCAGGCACACATGGAGTGGATGGAAGAACGTCGAGATGTATCTGCAGAGCAACTCGTTGATGATTTCGTCACTGCCAATGCGAAGTGGATCAATGCGGAAGCCGAAGACCTCTTGGCATCTTTGGACCTTGATCTCCTCTGGAAAGTCATCGACTTCGGATCGCTGCAATTCTGTCGTGATCCTGTCGCCATCATCCGGATAAGGACAAAGGACGCCGAGCGTGGCAAGGCAGGGGTCGCCAAAGCTTTCTGCGGTTCGTTTCCTGTGCCTTTGTGCTTTGTCTCGACGCGACGAAGGGTGGGAAAAGCGGCAGAAAGGGTGGCAAAGGCAACAGGAGAAGTGAACCGAAGGCGAAGCGGAGACGGACTGACCTGGAGGGCTCAAGGGAAGCCTGGTGGGAAGAGCCAGCAGGACCGTTTTAGAGAGCCACCTAGATGAGAGCCCTAAACGTGACAAGTCAGGTGCCTCCTCCCAGGAGCCGGCGCAGGCCGGACATGGCGGCGACATGCGCTTCTTGGCTATATGCTATAAGCTGACCTGCATGCTGATCAGGACCCGGAGGAAAAGAAAGGGCCAGACGACAAGCACCTGCGAGCAGTTGAAGAGGGCAGATGCCTCTTCGTGGTGGGGATCCCTCCATTGTGGAGCGTCAGCCAAACCGAAGAGTTCTTCAGTTATCATGGTGACATCGAGTACGTCTATCTGCTCGGAGCTGAGCCGAGCAATGTGCTTGCACCATGCGTGCATGTCCCTGTCTTCCCCTTCCTTTCTCAAGGCTGCACTTGCAGAAAGGCACCAACAGGAGGGCGGCCTACGTCAACTTCACTACGGAGCAAGGGGCGACAAATGCCGCCTTGGTGTGCGACAGGCTCGCTTCGAGTGCTAGACTCCAGTCAAAGTGTTCCACTGCGTCAAGGCTGGAGGTCGAACATCGAGAAGAGAAGCACTATCTCTGCTGTAGCATCAAGCAGAAGGCAGGGAGAAGAGGAAGGCTCAGGAAATGCGATGCGACTTCTGGCCACGTCGCAGGCAGGATCTAAGACTTACACGAGAAGGCTCAGCCAAGGACTGCGTGGAGAGGCCGACGTGGCAAAGGGCCGCTTCCCGCGCCCACTTGAGTCCTGAAGCATCAGGTCGACTTCAAGCAAGCTCAAGAAGAAGCCCGGACAGTCTTTCTTTCAAGGACTCCTTGCAGCACCAGCTGTGTCCACAGGCACACATTGGCATATACCTCTTTTGCATGTTCATCCATTTGCAGGCTACCGGCTTATATATCGAAAGAGCAAATACGAGAGTTGACGGAGGATCATGGGGTGGTGGAGGCAGATGGATTGTGTTGGGGAAATCGCATGGTTATAGAGTTGCTATGCAGGCGATCCACATCCTTCCCGCATCAAGCTACAACACCATGGCTTGCTTCGTGACGATGGAGAGCCCTGGAGAAGCAGCGTTCATGATCAGGGCGTTGAACAACACAGAGGTGCAGTTGTGACCAGTGCACATGTTCTTGCAATCGCTTCAGTATCTCTCCAGCAGTGCAGGCATTCGGGACCATCATTTATGCCAGTCTCGCCGTCGAGAAAAATGACAAGCGGAAGAAGCTACACCCAGAGGAGGAGTGGATACAATGGTATCCTCTGGAAATTCGCAACTTCCCTCACTGGGCCGTTCCGGATGACATAAAAGCCACGATTTCAACCGTCGGGCCGAGTTCGCAGAGAGTGCGGATTATGCACTACGATCCGCTGCCTACCCTGAGCATCGCCAGGGCATATTTCAGGGAAGAAGCAGACCGGGACGCCTGTCTCAAGGAGCTCGTCGGCTATGAGTTCTCGCCGGGGTATCCTTTGTCGGCTGAAGCTCTTCCAAGGACTGTCTTCCTCGGTGTCAGTTGCTGCCATGGGATTCCTGTCTTATGGAACAAGGATAATAAATCAGAAGTGTGTTACTTGCTTGGGTGCTAGGGAAGCCCTTCCTTCAGTGAGGACTCTTGGAACTGGTCCTGGAACTCTGCAAGGGCAACAGCAGTGGCAGAAGTGGGAGCCGCCGTCGGAGCAGCAGCCGCAGCAGCCGCAGCAGCCGCAGCCGTCGCAACCTTCGGCCTTCAATCCTAACTTAGGTGCAATGTCTATGATGCCAGCACTCAACATTCCAAACAGACCGACAATGCCGATGCTGAACATACCTGGAGGAGGGGCTCTGGTTGAAAATGCCATGTTTCCCCCGGCTGTCTTCCCAATGGGATGGATGCCATCCGTTGGCTGAGACTGGTCACTGGACATGAGTGGCTTCAACTTGGCTCTCTGATTGACACGACCGACATGGACTCGTCGTCTCCGAGAAGATTGAGGATCCTCGCCCGAAAAAAGCCAAGGCCACGCAGGAGGTACTCAGCAGGCCACTGACAAGGCTGATCGACATCCCGCAGCTCGGTCAGTGCCTCCGACATGTGACATGGGCAAAGACCCATGTCGTCAAGATGGTTGCCGGCGGCCGAACAAGACCATTCGAGCTGGTAGCTGTTGTGTTGCGAGCATGTACCACCAGAAGCATTACATGTCCAAGTAATGTTGATAGTGATGCGCTTGCCAGGAGACTTTCTGTGGCAAGCCTCCTGCGGGCACTAGTACGGAGTACGAAGAATGCTCTGCAGGCACCGTCTTTTGACAGTACTTCGTCAGCTCTGCCCTTGCAAGTCGCTTTTTCTGATGCATTCGGGTTGAAATGTTTCCAGCTTGGGAGCTACGGCTCGAAAACCTGACGGAAACGAGTCGCCTCGGCCAGTTGATGTCGACTGCGAATTTGGCGAGTGGACGCCTTTCTCGGCCGCAGGCTTAGCCTCGCACTACTAACGAACCCCGCTGCTTGAATCCCTACTGAGGCTTGCTCTGCTGCCTGCTATGGACAACAGCGTAGCGCTCGCCAAATTCTCCGGAACAGTTCAGGCGCTTTGACGAATTTCTGCCTAGTTAGGTCTCCGAGAGGTTGTTGAGCTCACCGAGGCAGTGGCAATCCTTGCGCTGGGGCCGTGGAGAAGGCTGTTCGGCAGCTCGGCTTGATCTTACGCTCGTCTCCGACTCCAGGCTCTCGTGAATTTAACAGCAGCTCGGGGGCAAGTGCTTGCTCAGGTGCAACCCAGCTGAGGGAGAAGCTGCACCTGACAGTTGCCAGTGCCATGGTCGGAGAATTTGACTTTACCCCGAAGCATAATGATGGACATGCATCTTCGCAATGTCGACACATGGTAGCGTTGCGGCTGCCTCCTCCGTTTCCAAGTTCAAGTTTGTTCAGCAGCTTTCTAGACATAGGAAGTGTCATTACTAACCATGTTTAGTAGCCTGATCGCCGAGATGTAGGAAGAGTCATGGGTGTAGGCAGAGTCATCGGTCGCACTTGGTCCGGCAGAGTACGCAGCCAAGGAGCCACCAAGCCAGCGGTGTTCAGAACTGTGTGATGAGCCACTGGTGGATCAGCAGTTTTCGGGACTGCGACTTTGAGCTTGCAGCAATCGCCCAGTGATGCCAGGTCCGAGTGGACTTCCTGTACAGCAACATGCGAGAGAGGTTTCTCCACGCGCTCGAGGTATGTAGAGGCGGACCTAACCATGTGGGCAAACAAATTGATCTGATCGGAGTACGTGCATACTTGTAGGATTGATGCAGACGGCATGAATTCGTTGCTTACCGCTTTGTGTGGCGCCGGCTTAGCGACTGTCTTGCACTCACGGCATATCCCCAGTGTAGATAGAGAGCTGCGACAGGTCAATCCTCAAAACGGCGGGGATTCGTGTCCCACCAGCGTCAAGGATCACGATGCACTTCAATGCTTTGGAGATTTTCTTGAAGTCTGCAGTCAATTGGAAGCAGAGGTCTAGGAACGAGCCTCAAAGTTGGCAGAGAAGCGTGATGAACATCTTGCTGCCGCAGGAGATGAAACTTTGCAATGATGGCGTCAGCTGCTTCCAAGGGCGTGCCTCAATCTTAGAACCATCCCTTGAGAGAATACGAATCCCGGTGTTCGGAAATGTTGTACGTATGGGTCAACACGTCAGGGCAGACAACTCACCTTCCGGCTGGGGTTGATGTGCACCTTTGCCACCAGCAAGCATACCGTAGCTGCCGCAATGAAAGACAGAGCAACTTGAAGTACAGGGCAGACATGATAGAAATTACCTCGCCAATCCTCTTGCAGAGTGGGACACGTGGCCAGTGCTTGAAGTTCTGAGGTTGACTGTGTTTGGGAGGAATGGACAGCATGGAGCGTGTCCTCTCCTCAAGAAGTCCGGGTGGTTGCTGACAACACTGGTCGTCACTTGCAGCAGGTGTGATGCTTTCGATCTTGCGACGCGCAGTCGTGGTTATGCTCGTCATGCTGCCGCGCCCTCATGCATGGTCCAACTCACCCTGATGCCAGAGCTCTTGTCTGCAACGTGAGGAATCCGGTGGTCTTGACTGTTCCGGACCCATCCGGGAAGTCAAGGGCTGCAGCAGTGACGGAGGGAGCTCTTGCTCAGTTTCGTGGTGGCTGCCTCATGGGGCGGCACATTGCGGTGTGGGAAGACGGAGGAGGGAAAGAGACTGTCCCCCACCAATGATGGCAAGCGAGTGAATCCCCCAAGCAAAGATGGAGAGGAGAGGACCGATCAGCCCGAGAGAGAGGCAGAGGAGCACCGGAGAGAGATTCCTGAACCATGCAGATGACAAGCAGAAAGCGCAGGAGATGTGTCTGCCTGCCGCTCCGGCTGTTGGACTTCCTCACTCTAAGATGCAAGCCTCAAAGCCCCAAGCTAGTTTGCAGGCCTGCAGACTTGCTCCCTCATTACCAACATCCTGTTTTTTTTTGTGCGAGCAAGACAACGCAAAGGGGATGCCGCGGTTGATCGAAACAGTGGAGTGAAGGGAACCTGCTTGCCCGTGGCTTGCACGAGTAATGCCTGCGTCTGCTGCGAAGGTACAACTGCTCCTGGAGCCACGGTCCCAGCATGGTCAGTTCCGCACGTCTCAGTTGCAAACTTAGGCCTCTTCGCTATTCTCAACACCCTCCAAAGCCCTCAAATCGAAAGCAGATTGGGCCCTTCTGTTAATATCCGGTTTGGGCATCTGACAGGATGGATTTTGACAGGTGTCACACTCTTCTGAAGGCGACCCAAAGGATCTGGTCACCTCTCGGTGTGTTGTGCCGCTGCCCCTCCAATGTACTCCTGAACGCTTGCGAGCGAACTTTGGATTGTGCACTGACCGTCGACGAAATTTATGAGGTGTGTGTACACGTCTACTTGTTGCACAGATCTCGATGGTTCAGAGCACTGGAGGGCATGCAAGAAGCGCAGCCGCATGCCGTTTTCTGAATCGTTATCCCAGCATTGCTAGCATGACTGATGGTGCTTACAGCCCTTCTGGAGTAGCAAGCGTGTTGGGAGGGCAGCAGGTGCGGTCTGTTGTGTGGTCTTGCGTGTCAAAACTCAAAGCTGCATTCATTTCAGGTCACTGGTCAGCTTGGTCAGCCTGTTCAGCTACGTGTGGACGCGGAGGGGCAGCACCCTCAATGAAGAGTCCAGGCATGGCTCCTGCACAGTCGTGAATTGCCTGAGGTGCAAGCTCGCAAGCGTCAATTGCAGGCAGCTTCTTCCCGATGTTTTCCAATATGTCACAGTCTGCGTTATGATTTGCAGGTGGGTCATAGTTCCGTGGATGCACCGGTGCCTTCCTCAATGACTGAAAATGTCTCCGTCGGGCCGAAAAGCGTGGTTTATGTTCAAGGCAGCTGGCCTCGTCGTGAGTTCGTTGGCTCCACAGCTGCGGAGCCTTCTGTGAGGTTGATGGGATTCATGGATTTGCCTTCCATGCTGCAGGTCAGGGCCGAGGAGGGAACCGGGCAGTGCATCAATCGCTTCCGAGCACCAGCTTGGGCCGACGGAAGTTGCCTTCGCCCTAAGTCCTTTGAGGGCATGGAAGACATTGCCATGACGTCGCAAGCAGTTGAGGTGGACTTCAATTGTGCCGAGAACATGAACTGGCAGGATGATTGGCCTCACGATGTGAAAGCCTACTGCTGCCTGACACTGAGCGCCTGTGTCCTCTGCCGTACATCGCCACGCAGTCCCAGAAACTACATCGTGAATAGATTAAGGTGTTTTCGTGCAGTCTTGATAGACCGTGCTTTGCGAAGTCGTAGGACTGCCCTTGAGGTGAAAGGGGGATCTGCGAGGCTGCTTGCTGTCGCTTTGCAAGAATCCGTGCCCTTCTTGTCTGCACGACATTTTCGCCAGGGCCAGGCGGCTGCTGCGCGCACACCCCAGCGACGCTGTATCCGCCGCTTGCGAGCTGTGTCGGCATGTGCAGCTTCTGACTCCGCCCCGCCTCCAAGTCCAAGCACGCTGAGCGCCGAATACTTGCCCAGTGACGACCCTGTCTTGGAGGAGATGTCTGGAACTTGGTTTCTGCTCAGAGCCCGCAGAAGGCACCGCATCCTCAGCCTGACGAGGTCACCTTCGGACACTGTCATCCGGTACGACCGGCATGGCCTGTCCTCGCTCAAGGAGCAGGCAAGCACTTTTCAGCAGAGCTCGACTCGATCCGCGTTCCTTGGCCTTCCCCTTCTGTTCCAGGTGAGAGCTGCAGAGGCCCGACACCACAGGGCAGCTTGTCTTAGATGACCTTGGCAGCTTTTGAGCTTTCCGAAACAGTCCTGGCTGACGGCAAGATATCTGCAGTCATCCTTGCGTCCGCAAGGGCTTGTGATTCACGCGATACCCAGGACCGCTTGCTTGCCTTCATCCTAGGCAGCGGATGCTTGGATCTCGGCGACGATCTTTGCAGTTTGCTGGTTCCTCTTTGAGCTTGTCGTGAGGTCTCCTCAGCGGATTAATTCTTAGCAGCGCTGGCCTCAGTGTATCTGTTCATTCGTGGAGACGGCACCTGACTGTTCAGCCTCAGGAGTCTTTTCCACCAGCAGATCCACTGCTGAAGTGCTTCCAAGGCCAAGGCCTCACTCAGGTGAATGGCAAGTGACGCAGTACTCGGCCACTGCAGGTACGACGCCGTACATCAGATTCTTTGACATGTGACCAGACTGCTGTAGTAGTTCGTGGTTTTGGCTGCGAGATTGAGCCAGCAAGCCACAACGAAATTGGAAAGTCAGAGTGCCAAAAGGCTCGGGGGTAGATGCCCACATGTTTGGTCGCTCAATCTCCCACATTTTTGTATTGATATCTGCACCAAAGGTTGCCTGAGTTGCACAATTCAGCAGTTCTGGGCATCTGTCATTGAACAGATTGTGACCGAAACGCAAGACTTTAGAGCACATTGCGAGACAGACCTGCCTACTTATGTCGGTTGACGGTCCAGACCCGAGCCACATGTCACGAAGATTTAAAATGCTTCAATGAGTGAAAGTATAAGGTTCGGAACTTGCAAGACTTCTTTGTGAAATTCGGTGCTAAAGAGTTCCGCTTGCATGTTCAGTGGCTTGTGCAAATGCATGGCTGCAAAACGCGCGGCATGGTTGCTTCCAGTGGACTCAACTCTGTTGCACTGCTTCAATCGTTCTTGGAGAAGCTGACAAGCCAGCTGTGCCGCATCCGCTCAAAGTAGGAGAATCGGCATGATCACCTACCAGCTCAGGCAACAGACCCTCTGAGGCTACATGCAGTCGGGCCGATAGTATCAGTATCTCTGCAAGAACAAAGCAGCTCCAACGGCACGAGGAGCGAGGCAGTGCGGTTCTGAAGACTGCCTCCGCAATGCGCCGATGTGATTTCCGGGAAGGTGCCCGATGAGGGGATCAAGAAAGGATGCAACAGAACGTTTGTGAAGGTGCAGGCCGTGACCGGCCAGTTATTTGCACAAGGACGGGCTACTCCCCAACCGATGGTCCTCCTCTTTGATTGTGGTACCGGCCATACCAGCTGACCTGCCGAGTGTCCTCGTGACCAGTACTTGGAGGTTTGCTACATTTCATTTAGGAATCAATACACAGGTTGTCATCTGAGAATCACCACCGCAGCATCTATGAAGACATTTCGTTAAATGAGCCGAGAAGCTTGCGACAGTGTGCGCACAGTGTACACCCTGTCGGGTGAACCATGCCCAAGCACGTAGGGTCGTGGATCCAGGATCGGGTGTTTGACAGCTCGTCGACCTTCTACTTATGACTTGAGGACGCATGGCGCGGTTTCGGCCGTTGATGCTGCTGCTGAGCATCCCACGTGTGAGCTGCTCAAGGGTGAGGGTCGCGAGCACGAGGGAAGTGAACATCTTGACATCAGGCCTTCGGAGTCGGGGATGCTTGCAACAGATCCTGCCTCAGTCCGCCCATGTGTTTCTGGGTTGGGTATGCTATGCTTTGCCATGTCAGCCAAGGCAGCGCGGTGACGAGCCTCCCGCCTTTCGTGGACCACAAGACAGTTCGCAAAGGCATTGCGGTGCAGCGCTGGCATTGACGAGAAGAACCGTTTTGACGCCCGTGTAGGTCAAGGCGAAATGATCTGGAGCTTCCCCCCTCCTGCAGAGGCGGCATGTCTGGTGTTTCCTGCACGGAGATATCAATTGATTCATGCTTGCCGGGTGCTTCCAGGATTTCGCCATTGTGCTGACGCCGTCGAACAGCTCAGTGAATCCCGACATGAGGTGGGGGAATCGGTTGTGGTTGTGAACTGCACCTTGCATGGTAGCAATGCTTTGGACTGGCAGGCTCTACATGGCCTCAACCACGACTGCATGCCAGCCCATGTTGAATTCACAGGATCACCTTGAGTGATGGATGTAGCAGGCTCTGAAATGCTTGTGCGGTAGCACTGTCGTTCTGGCTGCGGGTTTGCGGCTTGAAGTCTGGGATTCGGGTGGTGAGTGTAGTTTTGGTGCAGTGGCTCTCGATCTTGGCTCTGCGACAGCCTGATCTTCTGGTCCGAAGCAGTTCCAAGGCTTGTCCAAAGAAGCACACCTGGTGGCAAGGAGCTTGGCGCAGACTACATGCGGCTTGGCAGGAACCTGACGGAGCATTGGAACGTCCCGGGCACAGCAAGCATGACAGCTCGCAGAATCACATGGGTTAAGGAGGGGAAGCAGACACGCCCAGGTTTCGGTGTACTTCCTCCACGTCACCTGCAGGGATGAGGTTCCTTGCTTCCTGCGCAGACATCATGTAAACCACACTCGACATTCTCAGACTGCTCTCCGGGACTCCGCAGGAAAGGTGCCGGTATCACTTGGCCTTTTCGAAGTTTGAAGAGTGGGAGGCCAGGATCTGATGGAGTGCCTTCTGAACATCCAGACTCTGTGGGCAGGAGATGGCAGCTGGTGAGCAAAGGTCAGCGATCGCCTACCATGGAGTGCCTCTCCATTTCAAGTTCCTATGCACCGCGGAGTCCGCTCCCGAGCGCTTTGTGTCAAAGCGGCCGCTGCCGATTGGAGCTGCTGTCTGTTTTTTGCGCGAGGTGCGCGAACGCATCAGAAGCCAGCACTCGGCGGATCACGTTCAGGCAGGCCGATGTCGTGGCCGCAGGGGCTTTTCGTGCTGCTCGCATCGCATGCCAGTGCATGGCCTCGCGATGCATCTTCACTGAGACATTTGTCGCTTCTGGCTGGGTCCTCGCGGCTGAAACTGAGACCTCGACAAGCTATGGCAAATGCGGATTCATGCGTTGCCATCACTTCAGGTCCGCCGTGGCGACTATCCGACCACAAATGCTCACGAGCACATCAATGCCAATCCCTGAGCACAGGTTGTGACAGTGCTTCACATCGGACAGGTGAAGTTAACACTCATCATCTTCGTAGAACGTTCCAACGATGGTGTTGAAGAGCTTTTGCCCCGGAAGGCGAGCAGAGGATGGTTTAGTGGGGAGGCTTGCTCTGGCGACAGACTTGTATGGCTGTCTGTGTTGGTTCACAAGCCTGTGCACAGGTGGTCAGCACAACTGCGAAAGCAGGAACGTACTACGTGACAGTGCTGAAAAGGCCGATTATCAGCCATTATCAGCCTCCATCTGTCAAAACTTCAACTTGCTTGCCCCTGTGAGGCACGGTCTTTCGCCGCTTCCCTTTGCGATATCTGTGACGACGGCTTCTTTAATTGAAATGCCGAGTCGCGAGCATTTTTCCAACGATGGCCAGGTGTCTTTGCCTTCGACGATCGAGACGCTGCAGCTGGGAAAGCCAACTTTTGGAGCTGCTCAGAAGCCGGGAGCACAGCGTCCAAAACAGATACAGGCTTGCAGTGGTCGACGCTTGCCGTGTGCTGAAAAGTGTTTGGAGGCTGGGATTCCACTAGCTTCCTGAAGTGGGTGAAAGCGAAGAGTTGGCCGTAGATGGGGAGTCAGAAACAGAACTTGGAGATGCGGCGTCCGAGATGCCCCAGCGACCCCTCCTCCCCCGCTGCTCTCTTTGTCCTGTCGTTCCGCCAGATTGACGACGTGGCATGGTGAAGCTACTCGTTTCAGCCGAGGGGCGTCCCATCCTTCTACAAGTTCTACGTCCCTCGAGCTGAGACTGACATTGAGGCCACAGGGAAGTTCGACCTGACAGGTCCGTCTTGTCTCGATGTAGTCTGCACAAGCATCTTTCACTGGGCTAGGTGCGCATGCACGCCAGCTCTCCCCTTGCCTAATAAATTCTGCAAGTAATACCGAAGAAAAATGGATGTGCTCTTAAAAAGTACGCCATCCCCGTCCACCCCCCACCCTCCGCCCCAACCCCCAGACCGTAATTCGCATGCAGGTCTACCTCACCAAGCTGGACGGAGATCCGGACTGCGCTGTGTCTCACCAACAGGATCTCACGTTCTCTTGGCTGAACACTGACACCCAGACACCCCAAGCCACGGAGCTTCATCACGAGGAGAACGAGCGACCGACTCTCAGCAAGTCTCAGTGGCGCGCAAGCTCAGACACGCCTAAGGTTGCATTTTCTCCGTATTCTCAATGTGGGTACTGTTGCTTTGCATGCTGGTCGGAGATGTTGATCTCCGTCTCAGGCGCTCGGCGAAGGCTGGGGATGACGAGATCTCGATCCCACCGGCAGTCTCCTCAGAGATGTTCAGATCTTCCAAACTTGCGACAGTCAGTGGCAGTGGGCTTCGTTGAGGCTGATCCAGAACGAAAGCGGCACCAGACTGGATGGCTAGCAGCTCGCAGACTTGCAAGCCGAACTTCCGACTGCTCTGGCTTTCCAACGTTTTCTGCTAAGGTTTCACGTGGGAGTGCACAGCCTGTCCGAGGACGCAGAGCGCCCATGAGCGACCACTCCGGCCGTGACCCCATGCTGTGCCATGCCATGTGTTGCCTCCGCAGGATTCGACGTTCTCCATCATTGCTTTTGCCTTGGCCTTGGCTTACACGGGCAACCCTTGCGAAATCCATGGATACAGTACGTCCTGGGAACCCACGGCATTCCCCAGCACTTTGCACCAACAACAATCCTTAAACAGGAGCTGAACATGCGCTCTGGCACGAGTCTCATGAAGTTTTGGACATCTGAGACCATGTGCACGCTAGCAGCTGCTAGCATCAACGTGGTCAGCAAGGAGAATTGTTGTGGGGATTCATACAGCCGTTAATGGTGAAGTCCGGCGCCAAAAATCTGGGGCGTAGGATGCAGATGAAGCAGACAGAATTTTTCCTAAGTCCTGGGGAAACGAGATGGAACATGATGGAGCATTCAGATCGCGAGTCCCAATTGTGCGGGCTGATGAGGCCGGGTGGGCAAGCAGCCCTGCAGTTCTCCAGGCACATATGCACACTGCGCACACCGGTGCCTGCAAGGGTCGTCGATGGTGTTAGTTGGTATTCTCCGCAGCCACCACGGGGCATGCTCCGGCCGATTTTCCGACGCCTCGCTCTGCAAACCGCGTCCTCAAATCCGCAGCTGCAGGCCGCCCACGAGGTGTGGTGTCGAGGACTTCTGAAGAGGCTTCGGCCACGGATGTAGCGCCAGGCTTCCAAACCGTACAAACGCCATCAACAGAACCCTCTTGCCGACACGGCATTGAGATTTCGGGTGTCAGTCCTTGCCCAGCCCCAAGGCGTTTCGCTCTGTGACACCAACTGCTAACAGCCACAACTCCGAAAACTATCGAAAACTCCAGCGGGCGGATCCATGTCGGTTGACAGCGGAGGAAGCGCAGAGTGGCTGTCGGTGGCAGAAATGGGCGAGAGCAGATGGCCGCCACGACGGATGGTGTCGGAAATGAGAATCAGTGGTTTGCTGGACAGATGGGGAGTTTGCCAAAGCCCACTCTTGTCGTTTACTGCAGCTATGGTGTGAGCGTATGTAGATGGGGACCGTGGTGGGGTGCCGGGTCCAGAGTATGACTCCGAGACTTCAGAAAGCTTTCCGTGACTCTGCCTGCTCCTGCGGCGTGAAGTTCTAAGGAGACGATTGCTGAGTGCCGTGCTTGCTCGCAGTGAAAACATTATGGCAACCAAGGCAGAGAGCCACGTTGAGCAAGCAGCTGACACCGAGCAGGGCAAGGAAAATGTCGTCCTGCTATAATATCTGGATTCCCTGGATGGGTCGGATGTTATCACAGGATGGTTACATGATCCAGTGGACAGAGCTCTGGATGGGACTTCCCCAGGCCGGTTGCCGCATTGCACGACGCTTTTCTGCAAAGTGCACATATCGCGCGCAAGGCCATGGCGGCGCAGCCAGGTCTGCGGCACACACCTTGCAGTACGCATTGGATGCGGGACGTAATTGCTTGTGCAGACGTAGCTTCAGAGTGAGATGGATCGTACAAAGTCAATGCAGAGCAGGCTTGGCTTGGTCACGGATCTGCAAGCCAGGTAGACCTGCCAATTTCTTGTACTACAGCCAACTGGCTGGGGCCTCAACGGTGGTGCTCTGTGCCTTGACCATCGCTTGGCTCTGCCTCCCGGGTCGGCAGGCAGCTCCCAAGCTCTTTGTGAACATCGAGGTGCCTGATGCCTACCTGCTCGTACAGTCCAAAGCGTAGCTCTTCTTGCCACGATGCCGGTATCTGCATTTATTCAGAAGATGACGTCAACCTTCGGATAGTGCTCTTGGAGTCATGAGGGGTCCTGGTCATGTGCTGCTGTGTGCCGAACGGCCGAGCTTATACATCCCAGACTGCGTGCAGTATCAAAGCAACCACTACTCGTACTGCCACCGTCGTGTTGCTTTCGTGTGCAGCAGGCGATCGAGGGCAACAAGCCTGACGTGTGCGTGCGAATCCCACCTCTAAGAGCAAGTGTTTGTGAAAGGGGCATGAGCCGCTGGTCTTCCAAGTGAGGTGCAAAACTGCGGTGAAGATCCGCACAGGCTCCTTCTGTCTGCATCACCAGAAAAAAGCAGATGCTCTGGATTGCTGCCTGCACAGCAGGTGTCCCTGGATCTCGATCTTTGCATCGGAAACTACGCTCCTTGATTGTGACGGCAGGCTTCAGCGATGCTTGCGACTGAAAATGCAAGTGGAGCCGAGGCGAGCGAGTGCCCCGGACACGGCAGTGCGACCCCAAGATTCCTGCCGGATCGCTTACTTGCATGTTCATGGGAGGCCGAGCTCGCTGCCTGAGGTATCTTTTTGCGGAGCAGGATCGCTGCGCGGGTATGCTGGGGATGAGCAGGCGCCGGCAATAGCCTTCAGCAGGCGAAGACTTTCACCGATTCACCGATCAGGTGACGATCCTGAAGCCTTGCACCAAATGCTGGTACACGGTGCTCACATCCAAATCGGCTAGCGGGATGCTGAACAGGAAGCCTTCGCCTTTGCAGTCTTTGACAGGTGCTCGTGACCAGCGCGCTGAAGCGCAGCAGGTTCGTGCTTCCCAGCGCATGTCGCTTTGAAGTCTTTCAGCCGCAGGTTCAAGATACAACTGGGAGCTGAAGGAAGAGCGCACCCGCTTGTAACTACCCAAGCTTCTTTGTTTGTGCATTTGAGACTGATGGTTCTGTCAGAGTCGGTCCAGCTGTTCTGAAAGTTACTGAATGTCGCTGCCTCACTGCCTCACCGGATTTCACTTGAGCGGCTTGTGGGTTAGTGCACGTGTGCACCT